CATATTGAAATGCCCAGTCACTCTATCAAGTCTTAAACCATAGCATCGTCTTCAATCTTTCAATCACGTATTCCTTGTTTTCTACTATTGATAATCCAAATAGCTTGCCCACTTTCTAGATTTCCCCAACTTCTTTTAAGAAGTTGGTTTCTTCATCTCCTAAAAAATCTATAGTTTCAACTTTAACCCTTATAAGCTTTGCCAATTTTTTGCGTTATCCCAATTTTTGTTTTTAGGTAAATATTTTATCTAAACATCGTAGTTTTATCCCAGGCAAAATTGCGTATTCCTTTATGGTTTGCATCAAATCCTCTTGGCTAAAAGTGAAGCACCTATAGGATGAATACCAAAATTGTATAACCAATCTGATTAATTGTTCCTCAATCATCACTAAATAAGGGATGCAATCTAACCATACTTTTTCACAAAATCTTTTCTTTCTTTCTTCATTGAGCTAACCCCAGACGATGAACAAATCTTTTAAATTGTTCTATATGAGACCCAAATGTATATTTTTGGGCAATTTAAACACATAACTAGTAGGCAAACAATCCTTATTCTTTTGTTGAGCTTCATTCGACTAAATGTGTACCTTGTGACTCACATGGGATGCTCATAGATGATGAGCAAATATGTAGCTCTACAATATCTATGAAAAGAAATTCTTGAACAAAAAGTGTCCTAAAGTAGATATTTCAATAGGAAATTGCATGATACAATTTATGGAAAAAAGAAAAATAAGAAAAAATATTGAGTTAGTATCAAGATGTGATTCAAGATTAGAAAAAAAAAAAAACTAATTTTCCCTTAGTCATAAGCATTTGGGGTGCTATATAACCAAACGAAATAATAGCCTTTTTTACTAATCCCTTACTATTTTTGCATTCTACAAAATGCCTCTTTTGTTTTGTTTTTTAGGTTTTTTTTTTTAACAAAAACCTCATTTTTGTCATTTTTTTTATTGAAACACCCATTTTGAAGTTGTCATGAAAATATCACCCTTTTTGTCCAAAACTTTAGTATATTTTACAACCTGGTTGGTAAAGCTCTACCTAAGGTTAGCTTTCTATGGTTTATTATATGTTTGGTTCATATCGACATGCATCTAGAGGTTTTTAAATTATTCCTCATTGTCGTCCACGTCAGATTAGTAAGGCACTCCAATTTTCACCTATCACATGCTACGAATGGAAATTGTTCAATTTAAGTGAAAGTATTTCACTTGTCATTGTGAAGGTTAAACTTCATAGAAGTGTAAGTACTTTATTTCTTCCTATAAGGGATAGAGCATGGGCATAAAGCTCGTACATGAAATGTAACTTGTCATTGTGTTTGTAAGGAAAATTAACTCAAATGCCATACAATTTATTGCGAATAATATATACAAAAGAATAACATGATTAAAAAGAGATGCAAATGATTTTCTTGTATTCATTATTATTATTATCATTATTTTTTATTGGTTTTTTTAAATTATATATATTTTAAAAAAACAAACTATATATAATTTAAAAAAACAAACTCAAAATTAAGGGAGTTAAACTTAAATATCGATTAAGACCATTGAATCAAGATTAAGGATAACTCATAATTAATTTTTGGCTTGAGTTTTTTAAAAAATTAGGTCTTTAGTGGAGTCACAAAGTTGCCATAGCGATTATAAAGCTATTAGACGAATTTTAAAATATGAAGAGTCACCACTAATATTTTTTTGACAGGTGTGATTGGTCACATATTAAAATTTATCCTTTTAGTAAAATCTTTAAATTAATTAAAAGTTTATTAAAAAGATAATTTTAGGATCTGTGAAAATAGTTTGGATTTGGGAAAACAGTTATGTGTAAATAAGAATTAATACCCTCATAGCACTTATTTTTTGAAAAGGTACCAATTAATTATATATTATCCTTTAATCTTAACAAAATGGTCTTAAGTTTAGTCTTTAAGAAAATTCCTTAACTTTTTTTTATAATTTGTTTTTATTTCCATTTTTATTTTTTCACCTATTTCTTTTTTTTTAACAAAATTTCCCATTTTTTATTTTTATATTTATATATATTTTAAATTATTCTTTTTTATTTGAGAAAAATAAATTAGAACTTTATTATTGAAAATTTTTTTTAAATGTTCTAGTACATTGTTAACATTGAAAGAAATTTTCTTATCTACAGATTTTTTAAGAATAACATCTCGAATTTTCTTAAAATTCTATCCTTAAAGGCTTATATTTATTTTTCCAAGAAATTAATGATATACATGCAATGTAAATAATAAAATATTAGTACCATATTTTATTTGTGTGTTTACATCATATCTTTAATTATTTATTTATAAATTATTTGTTCCCTTTTAGAAAAAAATTGTTTACTAATTTTTTTTTTTGCATTTTATTATTATTTATTATTATTTGTTTTGCATTTTTTTAGTAGAATAAAATAGGTTTTTACTTTATTAAAATTTTTTTATAAATACTCAAATATGCGGATAGTATTTAACAAAAATCATCTCATCTAAATATTTCATAGGAATCACTATGCAAATTTCCTTTAAATCTCACCATCGAATAAAATTTTCATTTTCCTCATTATTTATTTATTTATTTATTATTTTATCTTATTTTATTTTTATTTTTATTATTTAAAAAATGATGAAATTTAAAATTACTAAAAATTTAAAATTTCATTTTCATTTTAAAAAAAGTAATAAATATTCATTTTTGGAAGCTTGAATTTTAGAAGAAAAATGAATTAAAAAATTATAATGATAATAATAATAATGATAATGATGATAATGATGATAATGATGATGATGATCATAATAATAATAATAATAATAATAATAATAATAATAATAATAATAATAATAACAACAACAATAAAGAAAAAGGAAAAAAATCAGAATATAAAAAAAAATGAAAAATATACCTATACCGGAAGGTCTGGATATGGTTCGAAGCGATTTAGTTCGGTTTGACTAAGCCAATTTCAATCTAACAGGGAAATGGACGGTTCAGAAATGGTTCAATGTGGTTTGGCCAGTTTAGTTTTGGTTTGGTTGGACCGATCTAAGAGTTGAGGAAGATGTGAGTTGTTAGGTTAGATGTGCGGGTCAATGAGTAGGGTTCGGTTAAAGGCGGATTCTGTGAGGGTCAAAATGATGTCATTTCTTTGTTCTTTTTTTTTTTAGCTATAAAGAACTATTTTTTTAATTCATTTCTCTTCTTTAAAAAAAAAGAACCAACTTTCTTTCAAAAAGACCTCTCCCTGTCGGTGAACAAACCTAGAAAAATGGTCGGCTCTGTCATGCTCTGCTGTGGATGTTGCTATCACCGATTGTTGTCATTGTCAACGGTTGCTATCACTATCACTAGTCATTAGCAAATTCCTAAAAAACCTTTAAAAACTCCTATCAGCCTCCTCAACCCATTTTCAACCTCATTTTTGATTAAAATTACCTCAAAACTCCTAGATCGACCTTAAAAGTTTTAATTAAGACTCTTCTTTTCTTTGTTTGATTTTTGGTTTTTCTTTATTGGTTTTTTAGTGTTGTTTCCCCATTCCAGGGGATGATTTTTCTATTTTGGGTGTTTGGTTTCTTTTTGATAGGATAGTTTCTTTTTTGGTTTTTATTTTTTTTTTTTATAAAGGCTCCCATTGTTTTCTTCTTCTTTTTTTTTTTGGTCATCTCTTGGGCTCAATTTAAAGAGCTAGATAAAGGGGTCTTGGACCTTTAGTCTTTAGGAATTTTAGGGTTTCAAGGTGCCATCGGGACCTTAAGGTTGCAAGGGTGGTCACGCCAACTTATTGGCCCATGAACCAAATCACAACCTACCTAGAGGTCTTTGCTTTCTATATTTTGGCTTAAGCCAAGTTTCTAGGAAAAACTAGGGACTCTATCATGGCTGAAAGAGGGAGTCACGGGATGGTCTTCCTCTTGGGTGATGGCATTTACAGAAAATGGAGGTCAGTTGGTCTTCTAGGTGCCGTTGACCTTTATCCTTTCCCTTTTTTTTTCCTTTTTTAATTTCAATTTTATATTTTCCCTTTTTTTAACAACATTAAAAAAAGTCTTAAAACAAGACTTGGGCTTTCACATGGATTTTGGACCACAACTTTGTCCTGGGTCAAAGGCATTCACTTCGAATATGGGCTTGCAAGCCTATTAGCACCAAAGGCACAAACAACCCAAATAATAGAGATTGGGCCTCAACCCAACCAACTTTAATTTGTACAATTTAACTTGACAAGTCCAAACAAATTTAGATCAAATAAAATTAAGTGTCTACAAAAATAATTTTACTAGTTAGTAGATAATTAATCATCACCCTATTATTCTCAATCTCATTGGAATAAATTTTATCATTATACCAATTGCGCCCTTAATTTGTCTTATTGATAAGGATAAAGATTAGCCTTGGATTGTATCAACACTTTGGGTAGTAGTTATCATATGATTAAAATTCAAAATGTAATTAATTCTATCCTGATTAGTTCTAATCTTTGTTCAAAAGCCTATATGTACAATAGTTCACCTCATACAAGATAATCATCAAGTGAGTGTTTTTCATTCTAAATGTTTAGTATTCATTTATGGTATCAGCGTTAATTAAGATGGCTTCAATCACCTGCACTACCTCCTGTGCTTTTACGTTTTAATCGGTAATTGGCAATATTTATCGTTGTGAAAGGTGTGAAGTCAAAGAAGTCAGTAGACTTAGGGAAAAAAACACACACACAAACACAATAAAAAAAACGATTTATATTTGATGCACTGTCAGTAAATTTGATAATATCATCTCATTAATAAAGTGAATAAGATAATACCACATTATTAATAAGTTTTTTTAAAAATAATATTAATTTTTGTATATTTATTTTAAGGACTGATATTTGCTTATTAAATAGATAGTATCTTCTGATTTATCGATAGTGTATAGAATTTATACACTAATAGTGTATCAAATATAAACTCATAAAAAAAAAAAAAAACATTACATAAGCTTATGTATAGAGCAATTTATGTCTCACATTACTTCCTCAAATCTCCCATCACTTAGAACAGAAAATTTGGCTACAGGTTTTTTTTTAATGTTATCAAGTCATGTTTCAGTTACATTTGTAAACTATGAATTTACAGCCCTGCAATTCTTCCTAATCTCTCCTTTAGACCCTGTAAGTGGACTTATATTCCCCATCTTGATCATGGAATTTGCAAAGTCATTGAAGAAAAGCTGTGAATTGCTGCTGTAGCTGTCAACCAGGCTTTTAGTTCTGGAAATGGCCAAATCACTAGAATATAAAATTTGATCAGAACCCAGTAAACCCTTCCCATTGAGCAAGTTCTTGAAATAATGGTTATCAAATAGATCGGTTGAGTTCCTATCAAGAACAGTATTCTTGTTTACATCACCGTTAATGGGACAAAAGCTTTGCAGATCAGACAACATGCTTGCTTCCATTGTAGCATCTGGAGCACCAGTTCCTGAGAAGTTGAATAATCTGTTATTGAAGGTAGAACACTTCGCTAATCCAATTGTATGGCCACCTATAAACAAAAAATAGATATAAATATTAACTTCCAAATAAAAGTGATTCATTTCATCAGATTAGTACTATATTATTGCTATATTGGTTGAATTCAGAGAAACCGTTTTCATGTCCAAAAGCCAGGAGCTATGTACAATCATAGGCGGATTCAAATATATAAATAGAGTGTCCCCGGACACCCTAAAGATAGGAAAACAAGAAAATTTGGAGGAATATTTTCTCTTGACACCCCTAAATTTGTTTCTGGATACCCTTTCCATCCGTGGATTTAGTAAATCCGTCAACAAAAACCCACCAAAAAATTCCCGAATCCTCCATTATGTATAATAGATTACCTGATAAAGAAACTACATCAGTGATGTCTAGGCCAACATTGACAAACTTTTGAATGATTGCATCCAGTGCCTCAAATGGAGAAGGAAGTGCAGCATTTGCTTGTGTCGCGTTTGAAATCAGTCCATCTCTCCTTCCTAATAAAAGTTTCCATGTTGGTCCTCCACTCTGCCAAAGATTTCCTATTAAAAAGCATATCCTTAACTACAATAACCAATTTGGCTTGGTGTATGTGTGTGTGTGTTAATTTTGTAAATAAACTGACCAAAAGCTTTCATTAGTGATTCCAAATAATGGATCAAATTAACTTACTAGGACAACAGAATCTCGAGCAGCAATGGCTAGTATATCAGCACATGATACAACTCCAGTGCATGTGCTCTCCGCAGCGCTTTTTATTGCATCCACAACTTCAAATCCTCTTGCTGAGTTGATATTAGCAAGAGCAAACTTCTCAGTACTATTGTCCCCATCCAACAAAATCGATGCATCACAACCCTGCGAAGAAGGGAAAAGGTAAAAACTATACGATCGATGTATGATTGTTTAATCATTAAATTTGTTTCGTAACAAAAGAAAAACGTAGTACTAAGATTAACAACATAAGAAAATCTGCTGCTTTTTGAGAAATTAAATTGAAGACATTTCCAGGAATCCCACTTAAGATTAGATTAACCAATCATCATACTATAATGAAATATATGGTAATCAAAATTTTTATATTCAAAACTCACGTTCACGAAGCAATCATGGAAATGAAGTCGGAGCAGAGAGGCTGCCATTCGCGTTTCAGTCTTGATAGCACTCTGAACTTGTGTCCGGACTACTGAAAGAAGAGTTGGACATGTTTTTGAATAGAAATCAGCCGTTAGTTGGGAACTTACAGCTAAACAAAGCATAAAGCTAATGAAAAGCAGAGAATAACCCTTATAGCTGTTTGTCCTCTTCATCATTTCCGCACAACTAAAATGTGTTACAGTAATTGGAGAAATCCTAATGCTAACAATTGCGTAAGGGCCAAGGCTGATACACATCAGAAATCTTTCAAGCTCTATTTATAATCTGAATTTGCAATCTTAAATTTCATTTCTAGTAACAAATGACTATTACTTTATGTTAAGGCCTAGTTTAGCATCGATGCTGCAGTTGAAAAATGTTTTTGGTGGAGAAAAGTGATTTAAAAATATTTAGTAAAAACTTTAATTAAAAAATTTTAAATGTTTGGTATCATTGGAAAAAAAAATATTGTGAATAATTAAAATAACTAAAAAAGATATGTAAAATAATAGAATGTTAAAAAATATAGAGATAATATAATAATTTTTTATTCAAAATGTATTTTTTTTCATTACAAAAGCATCTCTCGAAGAGGTTTTTTTTAGGTTTGCAAAAACTGTAAAGTAAATTTTTTTTGTGTTATAACATTGAGGTTGAATTAAAAGTAACTTTTAAACATAAAAACTACTTTTAACAGTAATATTAAACTAAGTCGTGGGATGATATATGTATGACGGCTTATGCAGTGCGGCTAGTGTTCACATAGCTGCATTGGGTTTGATATTTGAATAAACGTGATAGATTAACCCATTTAATTATATTGCAAACATGCATTGCAGATAACAGAAAGAATGGTGCGTTAATAATTATCAGATTAGATAGCATATGCTTTTTCTTTGCATGCAACAAGTTCATGCATTAATCAAAAGCAATAATGATTGCAGCATATACAGTTCTGACGGAGAGCTAAAGCATTTTTGCCACCACCTCCGCTCATGATTAAATCGGCATGCATTAAAAAGGTTCGAACTTTATCTTTCACAAGCATTAGCAATAAGAGAATTGACCATGGATTCACATGTGTCCGTTGATTTTGATTGTTCGATTCAACATTATTGAGTTGTTTAATGGAATTAAGTGAGTTTCTTTAGTATATATTCTTGAGTACCCAGTTAGAGTTGTAGATCCATGTTGAATGATTTGTAAGACATTATGCAACCACGATATAATTTAAGATTTGAAGAACAAAATTTCCTTTCTTCAAAGATGATTACAAAAATATGAAAATAAAGAATTAAAACAGAACAAAGCTTTCAAGAAAACTTAATCTGATATTCTAAAACTCCTACCTTGAGTCTATATAGGGAGGGAGGGCTCGTCTTCATTTATATTTTTGTATTTCAATTACATTTACATTTGATTTGCATTTCGTCTAGGTCATTTCTTTCAATCACTTGCTGAAATCTTCAACTTTTGGTCATTTCAAGAAATTTTCAACTTTTTTATCATTTTAATTTTCAGCTTTATTTTCTTTATTTTTTCCCTTCATTTTGGATCATTTCTGTTTTACCTTCATTTTCTTTTGCTTTTTGGCAGTTGGACTAGTGATAAGATTCCATATCAATCATCATCATTATCTTGGACTAGATTGATTGAATGGAAAGTGCTGGAGCTTGTTTGCTTTTCATTCAAGATTTTTTCATCATAGTCAACATTTGGAGAATTTACTAAACATAATTTGTTTATATTCTTTTTTATTATTTAGATGTGCTAGTAGTAAACTGGCATTAGATCTAGCTTTGTAAAAACTATGCAATTTCTTCATTTGAAAATAATTTTTCTTTTGGGTGTTTGTTGAACCGTTGGAAAACATGATTTTAGGTCATTTTTCAACTTGAAATTTGTCCCATTATTTGGTTTTGAACCTTCGAATGATTATGTTTGTTTTCATATTCCTATGAGGTAATCCGAAAAATATAAAATTCGGAGAAAAATAATTATGTTGAGGAATTTGTTTGGTGATTGGGAATTTTGTGGAAAGGTAGGTAAGCTTGTTCCACAGAAGGGGGTAATATTTCTTCAAGTGGTCACACCAATCCCATCAATGTGCAAACCACCAAGGAAAATCATAATTCACGTTATATTTGAAAAAGATTCATCATGAATGTCTATTATTGTCATTTTGAAAAAAAAAGGTATTGAATCATGCTCGTTGGTAATCTCGATAATTGAAGGTAAATTAGCTGCCAATTATCAAAATATTTAGATCATTTCCCCCTTTCACTAGGTTTAATGATATTGAGAATTTGAGCGGTAGAATGGGCACAATTTTTGGACTTTCATCTATAACATAATTCTTGAATATGCCTGCGGAACCAGAATGTTGGGATTTTTTAGCATTCCATTCATCTTTTAAGAACATCTTCGATAACCACATCCTTCTATCAATAAAAAATTTTGTAAAGGTTTTTAAGAAATTAAATTTTCAAAATTCTACTTTAGTTTTTGGAAATATATTTTATTAAGATTGGGATTATTTTTTTTTGCAGCTTGCTTGATTAGGGTTTCTACTTTAAATTAGAAGTGGCTTAAAGTCAATTCCGGAGGTTGTGAAAAGGATTGCATCCATTCTTGGGTTATCTTCATTTGGGATTCATTGAGGTATTCTGTATTGGTGTGATTAATGTAGACATCTCATTTTGTCTGAGATTCATAATTGAACTTCAAATTGGATTTTTTGGGTTTTTGATGTGTCTATCGGATCTTTAAATTGGTATGTAATAATAGGGTTATAAATTGGCCCTGGGCTTTAAGCCCAATATAGGTTATCTTTTGATATTTGGGCATTGCGCCCACTTTATAATTGCATTTTTATTTTAAATAAATATAAAAAATTAAAAAAAAGGATGAAAAAGGAAATGAAATAAAAATTTTTTCAAAAATCATAATTATATAGAATTGGAAATAAAATTAAAAAAAATTGACCACAATCAAATTAAAACTGAAAATTAAGCCATGATTTAGATCGAATTTGTCTTTGGCAGATTCGATCTTAAATGATGGAATCCTAAAATTTCTTACTAGAAATCCCTAAAAATCATTCTAAGGTAGACAAAAGAGGAGATAAAAAGAAAGTATACAAAAAAAGAGAAAAAATTTTGCTTAGCAATCGAAAGTTTTTGGTTCATTCTCTTTCTAAGATTTTTTTTGGGTTTGATTTGGTTTGTCCGAAAACGTGGTTTCTGTTTTGATTTGGGTGTTCAGTTGGGCTTTCTAGGGAATATTGAACATTTTTTTGGGATTAGATTCTAGTTTTTGAAGTTCTTTTTTTTTTTAATTCCTTCAATTGTCAATCTATGTCTAGCGATAGATCTACAGATCTACACGTTATGACAATTTGGTGACTCTAATAGGGGCTTTCAAGAGTCGAGTCAATAAACAATTTCTTATCCAAGCTTGACTTGATAAATTAAAGAATTTTCTCCTTATTTGTATTCCATTTATTTATTTATTTTGTTCATATCTGTCATTTATTTGCACATGTATAACATGAGTTCTACACTCGAGTTTCATCCCTTTGGAAGAGAGTGAAGTACCTATGCCTTCATGAGATTTCATGTCTCCATATGAATTAGCAAAACATTCTCACTCAAATTGATCCTTTTGCACTTGTAGCCTATAATGGGTGAGGATTAGGATGCCTTATTAGTCTATGATAAACAATGATGCAAAGAACAATTTGAAGACCTTTAAAAATAACTCAAATCACATATAGTTAACCTTATGAGTTTAACCATAGGTAAAGCCATGTTCCCTTGACCTTTTAAAGTTGACCTTGAGTTAATACCATGTTGTTGTTTTATTAATATGCTTATTTTCTTTATATTGAAATAATTAACTAATTTCTTTGTTTTTTTTTTCCTTGTCTTGCATATTCATAAAGCATTCGTACAGATTGCATAGCATACTTGCCCCAAAGATATTTTCAACAAAAGCTTTCATGGAATCCATTGAATGTTTACTTTGCATCTCATCTATTTTCTTTGAGTGTGAGTCACCTAATGATGTTAAAGTAGAATCAGAAAAAAAAGTAACAAAAAGAAGGGAATTGTTTATCGACGGGTTTTGTTTCCACCTTGCTTAAAGAAGTTTATTTGCTACTCAAACAAAATGATTTGAAAGACTTGTCAGACATATGAAAAGGTATGAGTCAGTCTAGATAGTCAGCCTTTTGTGAAAAGTATGGTCATATTGCACATCTCCTTACAGTGGTAGTTGAAAATTCCTTCATTAGAATAGCAATGCAATTCTGGGATACTTCATATAAATGTTTCATCTTTAATAAAGTTGACATGATACCGACTATAATGAAGTATTCTACTTTGAGGGATTTGTATCTCCAATCACCAGATAAGATATATGTTAGGAGGTAGAAACCAGCATTCCATAAGAAACTAGTAGATCTCATGGGAGTAAAAAAAGAAGATGTGAATGTACAGGTTTAAGAAAAAAATGACCATATTTGTCTGCCTTGGGAGTTTTTTTGTGATTTCATCACAAAGCATTTGAATGATGATCAAGAGTTGGATATATTTGCTTTGCATGGTAGGCTTTCCTAAAATTTTAGGTCATATCGAAATAGAAGTGATTGATTTCTTCTGGCATGTGAAAAAATGTTGCAATCCATTTCCAACAATCTTAGCTAAAAAATTAGATCTTTGAACTATTGTAATCAAAAGGGCAAAAGACACTTCATCAAATGTGTGTCATTATTATATCTGTGGATAAATAGTCACTTTGAATGTAAAAAAAATACACTTCCAAACTCTACTTTCGCAATCAAGCCCCTATTAAGGAATTTTGTGACAATGAATGGCCAAAGCCCAAACCTAAGGAGGAATTAATGGTCTTACTGTAAGGTCTTACTTGTACTTAGGTGAAATGGTTAGCTCCATGGATAAATCGTGAATTAAAGTTATATCAATGTGGAGATGAGACTAGGGTCCCCCTTTTGGATTTATGGGGAGCAACAAGTTACATACAGCATTCGAAGGTAATTTGTTCCCATGACACATAAACTCACTTAATCAAATTTCCTATATAGTGAGTCAAAATACTACAAAAGGTGTATAATATGATCTAGGCATAGAAGAAGCCCAAGAGAGTGAGTCTTAGGTCATTCACTGATAAAGTCACTTATAGGTATTTGGTGTAGAAAGCCAAGAGGGGTA